ACCTAACAAGGGAGATTTATGCTCAAACATTTTGCCTGAGGGCACTTCCTACTGTGCCCTGTGCAAGACAGCTGGCACTCAGTCAAAAAGCTACCGTCTCACTGGGTTGAGGACGCGTGGGATGTGGTTCGTGTTCTCAGAGCAGCTAGAAATACAGGAGGGGAGTTCTAGAAAGGACTTCTTGAGGTAGAGGGCCCCTAAATTTTGCATATATTCTCTACCCGAATCCTTGCTGCATGGGGAGACTATGCAAGGAGTCCAAGAAAACAGCAGTGGGATTATTGGGATTATTGAAAGACATTATCATAAGGTTGACTCCAGGGAAGTTGGTTACTTGCTAGAACAACACTCATTAAGGGAGATGACAGAATGCAGAGGCTCAGTAGCATATCACCCACTGGACCATATACATACATACATATTATATACCTTAACATATATAAAAGAACATGAACTATAAAATTTTGACTTGTAGTCAAGAAGTAGAGGCAAGAAAACTGACCCAACCTGACCCAGACGCCATTTACAGTTATTATACATTTTCAAGGACTTAAGAAAATACCCAGTTGCGATTAATTAAGAATACATGGGAATCTCAGCAGAGAAATAGAGCTAATGGGTGCTAAATGGAAATTCTATAACTAAAAATAAGGGGTTTTGGTTTTTTTTAATATTTATTTATTTATTATGTACACAATATTCTGTCTGTGTGTGTGTGCCTGCAGGCCAGAAGAGGGCACCAGACCTCATCACAGATGGTTGTGAGCCACCATGTGGATGCTGGGAATTGAACTCAGGACCTTTGGAAGAGCAGGCAATGCTCTTAACCGCTGAGTCACCTCTCCAGCCCTAAAAATAAGGTTTGAATTTAAAAAAATAAATGTACTCATCAGGCGGTGGTGACACACACCATTAATCAATAACAGCACAGAGATAGGCAAATCTGTGAGTTCGAGGTCAGCCTGGTATACAAAGCAAGTTCCAGGACAGGATCCAAAGTTACCCAGAGAAACCCTATCTTGAACCCCCTCCCTTGCAAAATAAAATGTAATGAGTTGAAGAGTTATTTTATTGGCTAACTAAAAGGTCAGTGGATGTGAAATAGATTAAGGGAAGTTTCCAAAATAAAGGAAAGTGATTAAAAGCTATTTTAAAAGGAAGTATGTAGGCAGAGCCTTGGGACAATATTCATAAGTCTTACATACACACAATAGGCATTTCAGAAAGAAAAGATAAAATGAGAGAAAAAAACTGACATTGACACCCTCTCCAATTTTTTTAAAACATAAATCAACAGATAAAAAATCTCAGCCAGGGCTGGTGAGATGGCTCAGTAATTCAGAGCACTGGCTACTCTTTTGGAGGAATCTGGTTCCGATTCCCAGCATCCACACCGTGAATCACCAAAGACCTTAGCAAAACCCAAACAGGATACAGTTAAAGAGAAACCACACCATGATGTAGTTGTTTGAAATCAGAGACAATTAAAGCCACCCAGAAAAATAGTGACATAGTACAAGTTAGACAGGTAGGTGGACTCAGAGATAACGGAGGCCACAGAATCGTGGTGCGACATTTTTAGGGCTGAACTTAGATGCAGACAGCAATATCAGCTGTTGTGGTTGGCATGTGGTCACTCTCCGCAGCTCATATTTTGTTCCCGGACTGGTGGCATTGGTTTGAGAGGTGGTCAAGCCTTTAGGAAGTTAGGCCTGGCTACCGGAAGTGAGGGCCTCTGAAGGTGGTGGTGCTCCTGGTATGGACCATGATTTCTGCTCTCTGTGTCTCTCCTAATGAGGAGTCCCTACCTCAGGCCCCTCCTGGCAGGCCTTTCCCACTATGATGGCTTAAACTTCTGAAACCATAATCCAAAATGATTCCCTCCTCTTCCGGAGTTTCTGTCAGGTGTTCACAGCAGTGAGAAAAATGAGCAATACATCAACTTGATATCTACTATCCACAGGAAATACCATTGGAAAGTGATGGTGAAATAGATCATTCCAAATAAATAAATCCTAGATATTATCCCCAGATCTGCGTTATAACTCATTCTGTTAAGTTCTTCGCTGGGAAGGGAAATGGTACTAGATAGAGCATGAGGCCCATAAGAAATGAAGAACATTAGAAATAGTAAGTATAAAATACTAGAAATAATTTTTTTAATTTGTTTAAAATAATGATTGTTTAATGTCAAAAAATGTCCATGGTGTGTAATGTATGCAGGTGCATTTTACATGGCAATAAAAGAAAAAAAGACGGCTGATAAATGGAGCTACGTTTTTGCAGGGTTCTTGTATTTTATGACAATTAGTAAAATATAAGCTCTTAATACATGAAGATAATTTAAGAATGTAAGCGCTAAGCCCCGGAACAACTACTAAAAGTTAAAATAAACGTACTAGCAGAAAACCAGGGGTAAGATGTGGATGTGCTAATGAGAAATACTGGATTAACACCAAAGAAAGCTAAAGGAGACTTAACCAAAACAGGATGGAACAAACAAGATACAAATTTCAAAGTGGTAGATTTAAATCCATCGGTGTCATCTTTGCATTTTATGTAAATGAACTAAAAGCTCCAACTGAAGCACAGAGATTACCAGACTAAATTTAAAAAACTACAAACTAACTGAAAACTATATGCAAGAGACATCAAAATTGAAATAGACATATTTGAATGAAAAGTGGAAAAGTATTTATCTAAGACAAAGAGTAAGCCTTAGAAAGGTGGAATGCTTATTATATTAATATAGAAAATAGACTTCAGGGCAGGAGTGTAACTAGAGATAAGAAAAAGAGTTCAGAAAAATTGTTAGGAAGGCCAAATCAGGACTAGTGCAAGGCTTGCCACTAATCTTGTGTTTTATTCTTCAGGACAAGCAGGCTGGAGAGAGAAAACTAACTTCTGCAAGTTGTTATCTGACTTTCACACACACACACACACACACAAATGTAATTTTTAATTAAAAAGTAAAATTATTAGGAAATCATAAAAGCTAACAAAATAAAAAGGACATGTACATAATAATAAAGACTGTGATAACTTCCTCTCAATACTGCACCCAGATGAAAACGTCTGTGGCCATATTGGTGACCTTAACAACATTGTCATTACTTAAATTATTTATAGAATCGACTGGGAGATAAAAACCCCTCAACTTTAGAATATATATGTTCTTTGTAGGAGTGCACACAGGATGTTGGCCAAGTCATACAATGTGCTGGGCTAAGGAAGGTCATACTTCAGCATCTCTGTGGTTCACAGTGCACTTGTCCTAGTGGGCTTTCTGCTGCTGTGATAGATACCATGGCCCAAAGCAAACTGGGTTTCTCTGGCTTACAATTCCACATCACAATACATCATTGGGAGAAGTCAGGCTAGGAACTCAAAACAGAAATCTGAAGGCAGGAACTCAAGCCGAGATCATACATGGATACCTCTTACTGGCTTGCTCTCCATGGCTTGCTCAGCTTTCTTGTACAGCCCAAGATCCCCTGCCCAGGAGATGGCATCACTCACAGTGGGCGGGACACTTCCATTTCAATCACTAAGAAATGCCCCAATGCCCACAGACTAATCTGATGGAGTCAAGTTCTCAATAGAGGGTCCTTTCCCCATGGGATGCTGTTTTGTGCCACGTTGACAAAAAGTAACCAGAACAATACCTAAACTAGAAATAATCACTTCTAGAAAACCCTTAAATACTTGAAGATAACATATTTCAAAGAAGTAGGGCAAAGAAGAAATCCTAAGAGTAATTAGAAACTATTTCAGCTGAGACAAAAATGAAAGCACACTGTATTAGAAACAGTGGAGCGCAGGTAAAGCCAAGCTATGAGGGCAACTCATAGCCTTAAAGGTATTGTATTTAAAAGGTAGGAACCTCCCCCATCAACATTTTAATCTTTACTAAACAACTAGAAAAAGAAAAGTGAAACAAATGAGTACTAAGAAGCAAAAAAAAAAAAAAAAAATCAGTGAACTAGAAAACAAAAAATTAACACAGCCCAAATACGGCCTTTAAAAAAGATTTCTAAACATTGATACACCTTGGTTTAGATTAGTCAAAGCCAAAGAAACTACATGTTAGCACTATCAAGAATATCTGAATAGAAACTCCCTGCTCAGTGGTAGTATCAAATAAATGTACATAATGTACAGATTAGGGTAACAGGACTTAGTCCACGTTACGTCTAAGAGATTCTCCTTGCTCTCCTGGACGTCTTCTATTGTAAGGTGTTAGTCAAATAAATATATATAACACAAAGAGTATTGTAACAGGACAGGGCCATTTAGGCTCTGTCCGAAGAGAAGCTCCCAGTCTTCATGAACTTTTAGTGGAAAGTGTTAGTGAAATAAATGTATATAATGTATATAGCAATAGAGGAGGATTATTTAGGTTGGAGGGGGATGCACCTTCGAAGAAACGACACCGGTCCGGGATCCCCGGAAGAGTCCCAGCAGCAGCACACAAACACCTCCCGGGGCGGAGACACAGGTGGCCCGCCGAGACCTGTCCCGCCCCGCCCTCGCTTGCCCCACCCCCGGCCCTTCTGCGCATGCGTGTGGCAGGCGTCCCGGGGCTCGAGGGGCGGGGCG